ACGAAGATGCGACGCAACGCGGCAACGAGGCCGGCAGATCCATGGGAGGCTTCTTCAACGATAGGCCAGTTACTGTACCTGTCGACTGCAACTAGGTAGCTGTGGCCTCGATGATGAAAATAATCCGCCGCAATACATTGGAACGGGTATGCTGGTGCTATTGGAGGGGTGGGAGGTGCACTCGGCTGGGAAGGTGCCATGCGGTTGCATGACTGACAGCGGGCCCGGACTTCAGTGATGGCCGGGGTCATGCCGGGCCAAAAAAACGAGGCCTCAGCTCGAGAGCACATTTGGGACACACCCTGGTGGGCAGAGTGTAAGGACTGGAGGACTCGCTCACGGAGCGACGGGGGGATGACTACCCGGTCGTGGTACAGGATGACACCATCAAATGTCGTGAGGAACTCCCGGAATTGATGGTATGGGCGAAGATCAGGGGACAGAGAAGCCCTGTCTTCAGGGAACCCATCCTCAATAGTGTTACTCAAAGCAGTCATTGTAGAGTCGCTGGATGTTGCAAGTCGAATCTCGTCCCAAGTCACTGACTTGATCACCTCAGTTGGAGCGAGGTCAGGTTTGGAGCATACCTGGTTGGTGTCATCCAGTTCCTGGGTGCGGATGGCAGAAAGAAAGTCGTGTCGCAGTTCAGGTGTCAAGGGAGGGTCATCAAGGAGCAGAATGGGAGCGGCATCATCAGGGAGTCTGAGAGTGTTAGGGCTGCCCACTGGTCTGCGGGAGACGGCATCGGCTGCAGCATGGCGTAGACCGGGGATGTGGACGATGCGGAAGCGATATCTAAGGGACTTCTCCTTGAGGTTCCTGAGGCGGGGATTGGGGATATCGTCGAGACACCGGTCCCCAAACGTCTTCAAAAGAGGTTTGTGGTCCACCGCCACGATCAGGTCGGAACAACCCAAGGTGAAATGGCGTGCTTTGTCTAGTGCATCAACCACAGCCAGGGCTTCACCTTCTATGGGCGCATAGCGGGACTCGGCTCCTGATGTGAATCGACTACCGACCAGGGTGATCTTCCAGCCAGTTTTGCAGCAAAATGGCTTTTCCGAAAGACATGTACAATGTTTCTGGAAGAGCCAGAAGCCTATGCCATCCTTGCTCCAGTCGGTGGCTAGGCAAGTTGGTTTCTTCTTGTCAAATATTTCAACCCCTTGGTGGATTTCGTTGATGATGGCCTCCTTTGACCATTCAAACAGACGGTCGAGCTCCTCTGTCCATTCGAGGCGTTTTCCCGGCTTCAGGGCTTCCCGGAATGGGAGCATGCGTTCGGCGGAAGCGAAGGCATAGGATACCTGATTGATGAGACCGAACCAGCTCCTGACGTCGGTGATGTTCCGAGGTGTGGGGAAATGTCGAATGGCCTCCAGGTAGCGGGCACATGGGCGCACGGTGGAGGGAGTTATTTCGAAACCTGCAAACTCAACCGTAGTTTTGGCGAATTGAAACTTGGATGGGTTGAGTATGATGCCATTGGTGCCACATAGGTCAAGCCACTTGATGGCCTGAAAAAAGGCTTCCTCAATAGAGTTTGACCACATAAGGGTGTCGTCAATGCATTTGGTTTTGTGGGGGAAGTCGGCGACGATCTCATCGAAGCGGCGGCTGTATCCATCCCCGGATGATATGTAGCCTTGGGGGGCCACGAGATAGCGATAACGACCCCATGGGGTGATAAACGTCGTCAAATGTCTATCCTCTTCAGCAAGAGCGATGCTATGGTAGCCATTCCACGCGTCAAAAACCGATTTCCTCGTGTGGGGTGGCACTTTGCGGGCCTGGTGGAAGGGAGACTGAGTGTGGTGTGTCTCCCGCGTTGCATGTCGGTTAAGCGGTTGGAGGTCAACCGTGCGCCTTGGTTTACCCGACTTCTTCGGACAGATCACCATCTTGTGGCACCAGGTGACTGGGGTGCCGACGGGGACAGGCTCGATGACCCCCAGTCGCACATCTTGATCTAGGCCGGCTTTGACCTCGTCTTGCCAATGGACTGGGACAGGAATGGGGGTGTGGTGGGCCACGGGACGGGCGTCAGGGTCCACCATGAGGTGGATGGGAGGGCCAGACATCATCGGTAGAGGTTGATGTTCGCACACGTTGAAGGCACTGGACCTGTAGTGATCTAGGAGCCACTGCTCCAAGCCCTCTCTGTTCTCTTCTGTGGCAGGAAGCGGGAGGGAGGTTGGTGGTGGCGGAGGTGGTTGGCGGTGTGAGCACCCGCAAGCCGGCTTGTCCTTCGAATTGATTGCTGCACTGGTGGTGCCAATGGTCGGAAAGCTAGGAGGGATTATTCCCAAAGCCACACAGGCTTGCTTGCTTAGGAACACCCGACCAGTGGATGTGGTGAAGTACACCATCTGGTGAGTCACCAGCTTGGTGTTGGACGGAGATGTACCAGAAATACGAAGGGGAAGGGCTCTGATGATGTCAATGGCCCCACGATTCGCAGCTGTCATCTTCATGTTGACAGGGAGGAGATGGCGGCGGGTGAGGCTCATCCTAGTCAAGAGTGCTACGCCCGCCAGGCACGACTGGCACCCAGTGTCTGCCATAGCTTGGTACTTGACGGGAGAGGTGCTGCCTCTCAGAGATGGCGGGAAGCCGAGAGATTGGGCGTCTGAAGGCACTGCCTGGATGGTGACATTCACAAAAGGCTGAGGGTCGGATGCTCGCTTCTCCCATGCCCTGCAAAACTCGTTGTATACATGATGGTCTAGGGATACAGAGTGCGCATTAGACACCGGTGTGGCGGAATCTGCACCGCATAGACTGTCAAAGGCGGCAGCAGAGTCATCCAGGGCATTGGTGGGGTTGCGATTCCGTGACGACTGTCGGCAGAGGTTGGCGAAATGATTGGATAGGCCACACCTGGTGCATCTTTTACCAAATGCCGGACACTTCTTCATACATTCCTGTCTACCATTCCCATGGTCCAGTTTTCCGCAGTAATTGCAGGGGAACGCTTGGCCCTTACTGTGGAACAAGTTGCCCTGTGTGCCGAGCTTCTCACTGCGCTTGTAGGAGCTTGTGGCCGCTGCCGTGGTGTAGGAGCAGCTTTCAACGAGGCGACTGGCTGACCTCTTGCCACTCTCCTTCGCCTCCACGTAGCAGAGTGCATCCTCGAGGGACATGTCCTGCTTTGACTCACCTAAGATGTCGAGTCGGATCTCCTCATCAATTAGACCTCGGATGAGGACGTCACGAATCATCATATCGCTATAGTCCACGCTGGGTTCGTGGACATCTGGAGGGCACCTAGGGCATTTTATCTTGAAGTTGCAAACCCCAGCCTGGCCCCTGAGGCGGGCGGCGAAGGCTCTGACAGGCTCGTCCCGGTCTTGCTTCATTTGATGTAGCTGTACCCGTGCTACCATGATGTTTTCCTGGCGCACCGCCAGGCTCTTGATGTTCTTTAGGACAGTGTCCTCTTCGCTGGAGGCTAGGGCGCCGAATGTCCTAGTGAGATCCTTTCGTAGCGACTCATCGCAGCACTCGAGAAGCTGGAAGACGATGTCTGCACCAGTGAGGCGAGTCGCTTGTTTGTAGTCGGCCCACCGTTGGGTGAAGTATGACCACGCCTCGCTCGTTCCGGATGCAGACACGACAGGGCGTCGCACTTTCTCAGCCTTGGCTGCCGCAGTCGGTGCATTCGCTCGTGTTGCATGGGCTGTGGTGGCGTGGATGTCAATGAGGCGTGTCAACACCTCGGTCGGCGTAGATGCAGGCCACTCCACGTCGCAGCCCGGGGCAGGGCAAGGGATGGTGGTCATGATGTATCTCTTATGTCTTCATAAATAAATGTCAACACTCTTTGTGACTTGACGTAGACTTTTAATAATCAAGCACAATGAAGACATACGTCAGACGATGCATGACTGGGACAGTACGGAACAGAAATAAAGCAGATGAATACGATTGACAAATAAGGGAAATAATAATAATGGACACAAGGAACAGATACGAATGATGGCACATACATGTGGTCTTGTAGCTACCGAATGATATTCCTCTAATATTGCCATTGGGAGATGATCAGTTAATGATTAATGTATTCATGTCAAAATTAATTAATAAATGGAAATAATTTAATCTCCAAAATGTTCAATTTCTTCTTTTCATGTCTTTTTCTTCTTTTTTTGTCCCTTTCCTTTAAGAATACTAGTCTAGGTAGGTATAGTCTAATTCTTGTTTTCTTCTTTCACCTCCTTGTCAGCCTTGTGTTCACAGCAACTTTCTTTTTCAATTTGTTCTTTTCTCGTCTTTTTCTTCTTCTTTTTCGTCCTTTTCCTTCAAAAATACTAGAATCTAGTCTAGGTATAGTCTCTTGTTTTCTTCTTTCCCCTTCTTGTGTCCACAGCACCTTCTTTTTATCCATTATCAAAACACATACACACAGTGTAAGGAAATCTCCTGTTAGGGGGCGCACAGTTCCCAAAAAGAACACGCCTCATTGACCTTGGCCTTCCGTTATGGTCAGTACAGGAACTTCTTGCAAAGAAAAGAAGACAAGGCCAGGATAGAGATCCGAAGATGAAAAGTGTCAGAAAAGAGCTAGATCTAGATCTAGAAAATCTAGATCTAGATATAGATCTAGAGCTGTAAACATGGTACTATTGCGCACCCAACCAGACGACAAATGTTGCATCAACCAGACACACGTTACCAAACAAACACCACCATAACATATAGGAATTTTAAACTGCTGTTAAACTACAGTAATGCGCTACGCTACACCGTAGTATAGAGAGGAAGTTTTTCTAACTTCTGGTGAAAAAATCATGAAGATCGACCTGTAACTTCCAGAGATATCCACAAAAGATCGCTTACTGTATATCGCACCACAGGATTGACTCCCTAGTTCTAGATATAATCTAGATCTATAGAATCTAGATCTAGCAGAATTGTCATTGTCATTGAGGCTGATGAACAGCAACTCCTTACTTTTACCAAGTCTAGTCTAGATCTCTAGATCCTCTAGATGAACATACCTTGGGTTGGTTTTCCTTCCTGAGCTTTAACTCTTGTCCAATGCTCAGAGATATTCATGATGACAAGAGGGTGAAGGGCAACCGTGACACTACCCGTGGTTCCAGGCGATGCCATAACCCCTGCATTTGGTACATCTATTTCCATCTGAGTCGCCATTGTTTGAGAGTGAGGCGAGCTTTACTTAGGCCTATAAATACTTATAAATCTAGTCTAGATTTCTAGATCTAAATCAAAGGTCCTAAAGAATAAAGTAACAATAAGCTTGATTTGCACTACAACCAGATCTCTCTGTACGCCACTGATCATTTAAAGCAAAATTCTACTTTTCAGACACACTGATCCAAGTACCAGTGGCCACTTCAGGTCACTTCAGGGCTTCAGGGTCCACAGCCAAAGCAAGCCAGGCCAGCCAGGGGAATATTTTCTAAATTAACCAGGTAAAATTGCATCTGGAAGCTAAACGCTTTTTGATCAGGCCTATGTTTTGAAGGTAAACAAAACATACAAAATATGCTTTGTTAAAACATTTTGGGAAATTGATCTAATTTTTATTTACGATAATTTTAGTGGAAGGCCAAAAAGAAACTTCTTTTTATAATTTGGAAGATTTCTTTACACAAAACGGTGTTCCCCGAATAATTAAGCCCATGCGGCAGACGCAGGCAGAGTATTGACAAGGGAAGCTATTCTTAAAATATGAAACGAGGTAGGCTCATTGATTTAGGCCTTGGGCCTAGATGATTAGTTTTAAAAGGAGATAACTCTATGCTTCTACCTCATATTATAATTATAGATCTCTAGAATCTAGATTTTGGAATACGGAAGTACATGTATGGATCTAGATCTAGATCTAGATCTAGATCTACATAAGTATTCTTGAAATTCACTGATGAAAGATATAGGTTCTATAACTCTTGGCAAACTCTTTTTAAGGAATATTTTCTGTGGTTTTCCTTCATGTTTATCCTCGCCTTTAGAATTAGACCAAACAATAATTGTAGACCCAGCCGAGTGTACTCTGTCTCTTTTCCACGTCTGTGTAATCTAAAGGAAGCTACTCCAGTTAAAAAGAGTGGGGTTATTCCAGGTCAAGGATCAAAGGTTCAACACTGAATCCAGAATCAGTGAATTCACAAGATCACCACCTACACTTATTACTTGGGCGAGGTTGTGCACTCTATTTTTTAGTCTGAGAGCAATTTATTGACAACCAACTCAAAGAATTTGGATCCAGTATCCAGCCCACACGAGTGAGTGTTAAATCGCCAATAAGTTTTTTAAAAAATCATCTGCATTCTGTCACTGACTGTGAGTGTGAGGCTTTTGCCGCCTGCGTTGCTCAGACTGGTGATGTTTTTTTTTTGGCCGGCTCTAGATTTTCTAGATTTAGATCTAGAGTCTAGATTATATCTAGATCTAGATCTAGATTCTAGATCTAGAATATCTAGATTAGAGGAATATCATTCGGTAGCTACAAGACCACATGTATGTGCCATCATTCGTATCTGTTCCTTGTGTCCATTATTATTATTTCCCTTATTTGTCAATCGTATTCATCTGCTTTATTTCTGTTCCGTACTGTCCCAGTCATGCATCGTCTGACGTATGTCTTCATTGTGCTTGATTATTAAAAGTCTACGTCAAGTCACAAAGAGTGTTGACATTTATTTATGAAGACATAAGAGATACATCATGACCACCATCCCTTGCCCTGCCCCGGGCTGCGACGTGGAGTGGCCTGCATCTACGCCGACCGAGGTGTTGACACGCCTCATTGACATCCACGCCACCACAGCCCATGCAACACGAGCGAATGCACCGACTGCGGCAGCCAAGGCTGAGAAAGTGCGACGCCCTGTCGTGTCTGCATCCGGAACGAGCGAGGCGTGGTCATACTTCACCCAACGGTGGGCCGACTACAAACAAGCGACTCGCCTCACTGGTGCAGACATCGTCTTCCAGCTTCTCGAGTGCTGCGATGAGTCGCTACGAAAGGATCTCACTAGGACATTCGGCGCCCTAGCCTCCAGCGAAGAGGACACTGTCCTAAAGAACATCAAGAGCCTGGCGGTGCGCCAGGAAAACATCATGGTAGCACGGGTACAGCTACATCAAATGAAGCAAGACCGGGACGAGCCTGTCAGAGCCTTCGCCGCCCGCCTCAGGGGCCAGGCTGGGGTTTGCAACTTCAAGATAAAATGCCCTAGGTGCCCTCCAGATGTCCACGAACCCAGCGTGGACTATAGCGATATGATGATTCGTGACGTCCTCATCCGAGGTCTAATTGATGAGGAGATCCGACTCGACATCTTAGGTGAGTCAAAGCAGGACATGTCCCTCGAGGATGCACTCTGCTACGTGGAGGCGAAGGAGAGTGGCAAGAGGTCAGCCAGTCGCCTCGTTGAAAGCTGCTCCTACACCACGGCAGCGGCCACAAGCTCCTACAAGCGCAGTGAGAAGCTCGGCACACAGGGCAACTTGTTCCACAGTAAGGGCCAAGCGTTCCCCTGCAATTACTGCGGAAAACTGGACCATGGGAATGGTAGACAGGAATGTATGAAGAAGTGTCCGGCATTTGGTAAAAGATGCACCAGGTGTGGCCTATCCAATCATTTCGCCAACCTCTGCCGACAGTCGTCACGGAATCGCAACCCCACCAATGCCCTGGATGACTCTGCTGCCGCCTTTGACAGTCTATGCGGTGCAGATTCCGCCACACCGGTGTCTAATGCGCACTCTGTATCCCTAGACCATCATGTATACAACGAGTTTTGCAGGGCATGGGAGAAGCGAGCATCCGACCCTCAGCCTTTTGTGAATGTCACCATCCAGGCAGTGCCTTCAGACGCCCAATCTCTCGGCTTCCCGCCATCTCTGAGAGGCAGCACCTCTCCCGTCAAGTACCAAGCTATGGCAGACACTGGGTGCCAGTCGTGCCTGGCGGGCGTAGCACTCTTGACTAGGATGAGCCTCACTCGCCGCCATCTCCTCCCTGTCAA